GGGGAACATAAGGGCAAGCGCTAACCTAAAAAAATAGAGAAGGTAATGTTGTATTCAAATATAAGAGGTTTTTTAATTTTGAAATTCAAATAGAAAAGATAGGTGTTGTATTTGAATGCAACCATACGTGGACTACTCGAAGTGCCCTTCTATTCGAGAAAAGTGGACCCACGTCGTTTTGATTTTAAAATGTTCAACTAAAGGACCACCGCCTCCACGATCTCCTATGGGCGGCCGCCGGTCCTCCGCAAGCAACAACTTCCCGTTCCCCATGAATTGTCCCCCTAACAACTACTGTTTCGACCTGAACAGATGACCGATATAATGAAACAAGCGGCTTGTGGCTGAGTGGTTAGGGCACCGGTTGTCAATGCGCATTGTCTTCTGAGGGTGTGGGTTCGAAACTCCATACCTTCAGGCAGAGACACCGTAGGACACTTACATAACGCACAGTCACTTGCAGGTCTCCTTGGGTTGAAGCATGTAAGCTATTACAAACACTGCCTGCACACCACCCAAGGCTTGTCCACAGTGTTGTATGTTGGGTCTCGATGCCTTGTGGGTTGCTTGTCGCTATTGGTCGTGGTTGTTTTGTTGATCTCCCCAGTCTGGCATATCACACATAGGTGCCGTTTGAGATTGTTGCTCATATGGCAGTCTTCGGGTGACTTGTCATAGATCACGGGTTCAAGTCTGGCTTGGGACTTTGGGGGGTTTCTTGTCCAGCTCGGCCTGTCTGGCCTTCGGACACGTAGTTTCCTCTACATAGTATTGCACATATCTGGCCTTCGGGCACATACGTCCTACTATACAACTACACATAGCATACATAGCCTCGGGGAGTACACAAAAACATAGCTTGTGAACATACAGCCTACGGGCTCATACATACATAAGACTCTGGGCACACATATACATACAACTATAATACCGGGATGAGGGGTCTATCAGGTACATGACGGGGTCATCTCATGCATGACTTAGACTCTAGGGTAGGGTAGGGATATAAGTCGCTCCGACTAGTCTGAGTTCCGCCTAGCCTTGGGGAAGTTAGGGGAAGGACAGTAGGATGTGTTCCTCAGCGCCAACTTGCCTTGCCTAGGTACTCCTGTTGGGTAGACTCTCTGATATTAGACCTGTAGAAGATTGCATGAGCCTGGCATCCGAAGTTCTTGTACGACAAGGTTTGTCTGCTTCCGCTTCCACTAGGGCTGGGGGGTTGCCCAGCCTTGGTGCTTGTCACTGCTGTCTGGTCCAACTTGCCCTCGATACTGGTAGGGTGATGGTCCTGAGTGCTGGTGATGGCCCTGAGTGCTGGTCACACTGAGGTAGGATAGTAGGGATAGGGGTAAGGAAGGTGGGCTATCCTGTCAGGACAACCATCGGCTGCCGCTGCCAGCGATCACCGTGGGTGTAGTCCTTGGCCTCTACAACACCCCGGGCTTTTCAAGAAAGAAAAAGAAAGACTGGTATAACAAATGATGACGAAATTGACTCAGGGTTATAAAACGCAAGCCTGACGGGCTGCAAATTTGTTGTCAAGTGTCCAGTACCCTTATGGACCAGATGGAATTTTCCTTGGACAGAGCAAAGTGCCGTGATATCCCTATACTTTCTCATTTTTAGCCTTATACTTCCTCCCTTTTATCCTAATGCCTTCTCCTTTTTATCCTTATGCTTTCTCCTTTCTCACACACATGCACACATAGAGGTACACAGAGACAAACACTTCTTCATCCCTGAGTGAGTCTGTGTGTGTGTGTGTGTGTGTGTGTGTGTGTGTGTGTGTGTGTGTGTGTGTGNGAGAGAGAGAGAGAGAGAGAGAGAGAGAGAGAGAGAGAGAGAGAGAGAGAGAGAGAGAGAGAGAGAGAGAGAGTCCACGCGGCCCCCAGTGTTGCTTGAACTATGGGCTGGACTGGTCAAAACGGAAGTGGAGCATGGCAAAAGTGGGGTACAAAGTAAACTTTGACCTAAGTACAGCAACATTCCTAAGGTATGGCGCTTCATCCTCCGTGTGCCTCTTTATGCATGAGTGGGAACCAGTTCGTCGAGACGAATCGACCATGGAAGCCCGGTCATGGGTATCCTGATACGGATTGTTTGGTTGCCCTCTACGGTGCAGTTGGCGCAGTACGTGCAGAACGCCCTGCTTTTTCGAAACTGCCCTCGACGGACACTTCGGGTGGTGCTCGTACGCCCTCGGACATTCGGCCGGAGGTGGGTGTTGTAAAGCTTGATGAACGGCCAAACGCGGAAGGGAAACGGAGACTCAGAAGGGATCAGCTCTGCTGGACTGGACGAAAGGAAAGCAAATACGGACGACAAATCTGATCTGAGAAGCGGCTCTAGGTTATTGAAATCGAATACAGCGCGTGCCTCGACCCGGCGCGGCGCAAGCGGTAACGAAGGGGTACGAAAGGGGAAACGATACGGTCACAAGCCCGTCGTCCGGCCAGGCGGCAAGCCGTCGCATGCCGTCGCAAGCAAGGCCATCCTGAGAGCCGCGCGGGTGGTGGTGGGGGGTTCGCCTCGCGGCCCTCTCCGCGAAGCACTGCGAACCCTAACCCCGGCCAGCATGGGAAAAGAAAGACTGGCGCGGGATCTGAACCAACATCTACTACCGGTAGCTTTCGCGTCCGGTCAAGAGCGTGCGACAGGCGGGGGGCGGGCGCCGGGCGGCGACCTGTCGTCCGCCAAGTGTCCGCGAGTCTTCCGCCATTTGAAATTCCGAAGTCCTGGAACCCGGTCCAGTCCAAGAGTCCCGCAGGCACACACGCAGGTAGGAAAACAAAGGGGAAAAAAAAAACAAAAAGAAAAGAGTCCCGCCCGCACGCGCATTATGGGGTCGGGTCGGTCTTTCGTCGCCGTGTTGTCCTGCTGGTCCCGCACTCCGCGAGTCTGTTGGCGGGCGGGCGACACTCCCCCCATGCACGACGGCCCATTGCCGTGCCGCGGCGGCACCGACCTTTGTTGGTCCGGCTGGAGACGCGGACATCGATGTGGTCCGCGCGTGGTCCAGGCGGGAGAGGGCTGGGTCTGTACTGCGCTTCGCCTTCCGCTTGGGTCGCGGGGTGTGCGCATCGTGCCAGATCCACATGACAGAAGGCGACCAGAGGGCAAAAGATCGCTGCGTGGGAGTGCATGGTTTGTTGGCGAGGGCAGGGGCGCGCGGGTGCGGTAGGTGTGGTTTCCGGTGGGGGTATCCGTGGAGAATGCAGGCAATAGAGCCCCGGTAACGCGGCCCATTCCCACCATAGCCGTGGGCTGTGCCCTCCCGTACGCGCCGCCGCCGTCGTCGTAGTCATCGGGGTCAGCGCTGGCCTTCAGTGTCGTCCGTCTTATCGACATCTCTTCATCCGCACCGTATTCGATCGTCTAATCGCTGGAGCATCTTCTGCCCTCTTCTTCGTGATCGAGATCGCTGACAGCGGGCCACGTGGGGCGACTGGGGTCGGTGGCGCGAGAACCATCGCTCCGGCTTCGGCAGAAATTCTCTCTCGGCTGGACTCAAGCCAATCTGTCAATCCTGAGGATTCCTTTCGTCGCCGCATTTGGACAAAGTTCAACGAGAGCGGGACGAGGGAAAAGAGGTAGCAACAGTGCAAGGGCGGTCTCCCCCCCCAGGTTTGGTCTCTCGAGCTGTGCGCCGTAGGGTTCGAGCGCGAGCCAGGGGAAGAAGGCGCAAGAAGGGAAGGGGCAGGGGCTGTCACGACGTGTTTGCTAAGGGCAAAGGCGGTGGCTGAGTTTGATTGGAGTGGAGGGTCAGCCGTGAAGGACCGGATTGACCGAAGCATTCTGCAGCCGGGGAGCGAGGAGCTGTGGCGGGGTCTTCTGGTCTGTATCGAACTGTGGGAGGGCAGTGGAAAATATTGATACTATCGGGGACGGACGGCAAAGCTGACGGGGGAGAGGGAGGGAAGTGCTGGTAGTGTGGAATCGTCTTTCGTGGGGGGACAGAGAGAACATTGAGAGGCCGAGAGCTCTTCCCGCTTTTGTTCATTCTTCTCCGCTTCTTCTGTACAAGAACACGACTCCCCTCTCTCTGGTCGAATAAGCTATACAACGCATAGCACTGCCGATCACTCCCCTCTCTGCTCGGGGTCTCTACTTGTTTGCGCCCTCTCTTGCTTATCAACGTTATCTTCCCTCCCCATTCCCATTTCCCGTCGCCCCTTCCTCTTTCTTACCCACTTTCCTCTTCTTTCCTTCCCTTCTTTGCCCTAGCGACTCGTCTTTCCCGGTTCCTCGGCTCGTCTTCTCCCCTGTTCTTCATCCCCTTCTCCTTCTTCACCTTAGCTTTCTCTCTTCGTAGCTCATTTCTAGTCTCGTCTAACCCTCCCCCCCTCTCCCCCTCCCTCCCCCCCCCCCCCCCCCCCCCCCCCCCCCCCCCCCCCCCCCCCCCCCCCCCCCCCCCCCCCCCCCCCCCTCCCCCTCTCTCCCTTCCCCTTCTGGTTTTACTTATAATTTGTGCTTGTTCGTCTGTCCTGGTCGCCTGTTATCTCTTTCCTTTTAGCCGTCTTCTTTCTTCCTCCGATCACTGTTTTGTTCTTTCGTTTTGTTTTTCTTCTTTTTGGCTCTTTTTGTTCTCCTGCCATCACCGACTTTGAGGATTTTCCTGCCTCGTTGTTCATTATCTTTCGTCCTTCTCTTTACCTGCTTATCCTTCTGCCATTCCTCCTTCCTCTTCGAGCATTATTTCCATTGATTGATTGATTGGGATGCGCTTTACTTAACTGCTCAGCCGTCGTTTTATCCCCTACTGGCGTGTCTCTAGGTAATTCTCTCCGGGTTGTCATTGTCAATCAGCTCCACTGTTCACTTGCATCTCTTTCTTGTTGCTGTGGTGAAGAAGTCGCTGAAGCTTCGTTCCCGTCCCGCTTTTGTAGTTTCTTGGTCAGTAACTAGCTTTCTCTCGTTGCCTTCGCTGTTCCCTCATCATCAGTAATCAGTCATCGCTGTTGTAGTTTTTAGCACCATAGTGTTCGCCGCACTACATCTGCAGCAGCTCATCACTCCGTTCTTGTAGATTTCGGTGTTTGGTTTGCAGTTTGTTCCTTGCATCATCATCTTCTGTGGTGGCTCTGTGATCGTTCTTTCGAGTAGAGCACTCCTTGCAGTCTGTATTGTGTTTTCGGTCTTGTAATCCATTCTCTCGCTTCTCGTTTCTGTTCGTCCTCTTGACTTCTGTGTCATAACGTACGGAGCTGCTGCCGGTGGCACCAGCGAGGGGCCTCCATTCCTTTCTCTTATAACGTGAAGGAGTCCATTCGTCTTCTGCTTTTGCTTGGCTCAGGCTTTTCCTGCTAAGGGGCGGGCGCGTAGTTTAGAGCTACGCAACTAAAGCCGTGCCTGCCAGGAGGGTAGCTGTTGTGGTCCCCCCCTCGAAGATTGTATACATTCAAGAAAAGGAAGGAAGCTTGGGCGCAGGACCGCGCGTCGCCGCGTTCTCTCGCGGGATTGTTTGCTGAGAGAAACAGGATCGCCACGCCACTTTGTCACTTGTTCTACTGCTATTACATCGCTTCTATTTAAGGGTTGATCGGGAGAGAGGGAGGGGACGAGAGAACGAGTTCCCTCTTGAAGATGTCGAGGAGGAAGTCCTCTTCTCGCCAGGCAATGACCTTGAAAGATTTCCATGGGGGGTCGATCCCATCGGAGTTTCCACTTCCGTCCGCGCCAGGAATGTAAGACTCTTACTCTTCTCCTTGAACTGTGTTTGCCTTTCGCCGCTCCCTTTTCGTCTCCTGTGCGTTACTGTGTCTGATTCTTCCTCTCCCTTGTCAGGTTTTCACACAGAGCAGCAACAAATTGTGCCGGTGGTAGGCGGCAAAAAGGAGGGAACTTCTCATGATGCGATGTGCAGTCAACGTATAGCAACTTATATTATGCCCATGAGGTTCCTTGGTTCCTTGACGGTGGATGCTGGCAGAACGCTTGTCAAGAGGGGTCGGTGCACACGTGGCAGATGCGTGCTTGGACCGGGTCAAAAGCCACGTAAGCTGCGCGGAAGTTTCATGCTCGGGAGAGCGCGTTTTCCTCGGAGTAGGAACTTCATTACTCATGACCGGGTACTCATGACGCGGAAGTTTTCATGCCACACATAGGTAAGTGCGGGGATAAAGCAGGGGAGGCGGTGAAGTGGGAGAGAAGACCGCACACACAGAGAGAGAGAGAGAGAGAGAGAGAGAGAGAGAGAGAGAGAG